GATTTTAAATCTGCCGAGTATGCACTTCTCAATGATCATCTAAGTATGATCAACTGGGATGCTTTACTCCAAGGCCCAACTGTAGCAGAAATGGTCAGTATTTTTTATGACATTCTTTACACTGCTATTGACTGCTTTGTACCAAAGAAAAAGCTTTCCACCCATAAATTTCCTAAATGGTTCCCCTTCGACCTAAAGGAACTCATAATCAAGAAGAAAGAAGCACACAGAACCTGGAAGCGGACTGACTCTCCTAGTGACTATGACAACTTCTCGAATCTTCGCACTCGGTGTAAGACTCTTTCAAAGGACTCCTATCTGAATTATGTGCAGCGCTCTGAAATGTCACTGCTGAATGATCACAACCTCAAACACTTCTGGAGTTTTATCAATGCCAAGCGAAAAGCGAATGGTTTGCCGTCTCACATGTTTTATAATAGCAACATTGCCAAAAATGGTTCAGAGATAGCTAATCTCTTTGCTGAATACTTCCATTCTGTTTATTCCAACAAAATCTGTGTTGCTAGTCAGGACATCTCTCGGAGCGATGCACATATTCATGAATTTAACATCTCAATATCAGTTATTTATGAAGAACTATGTAGCCTGCAGTCTTTTAAGGGTCCAGGTCCAGACGGTGTCCCACCTCTTATGATAAAGAATTGTAGCTTTGTATTATCCCGTCCACTTTTCATTCTTTTCAATAAGTCACTCAGTTTGGGTGAATTTCCTAAACTCTGGAAGCAGAGCTTCACCATACCCATTCATAAATCTGGCGATAAAATGGATATTTCAAAATACAGACCCATTATCATCCAAAACACCTTCCCAAAGGTATTTGAGAGCATAGTGACAAAGTTTTTAACTCCAAAAATCAATCCCTGTCTAATTGAGCAGCAGACCGGTTTCCATCCAAAATGCTCAACTGAAACCAATCTCCTGTCCTACCAGGACAAAGTTTCAAGAATTCTTGAGGATGGCGAATCAGTTAGTTCACTCCATATATACCGATTTTGCAAAGGCCTTTTTTTTTTTTTTTTTTTTTTTTTTTTTTTTTTTTTTTTTTTTTTTACTTTTAAATTTGTTTATTTAGTAAATCTATACAAATGTTTTTTATTGCTAAAAGACTTTTTTAGTAACAATAACATTTTTTTTATTAAATATCGTAATTATTCCCATTATCATTTTATCACAATTTTGCGATATATGTCTTCAAATTTAACGAAAAAATTTGATAATTAATTTAAAATGCAGTTAGTCTAGGAAAATAGTCGAAAAATACATGCATTGCAAAAAAAAAAATTGACTTTGACCGTGTCAACCATGCCGTTCTGCTTGCTAAGCTTGAAAGTGCTGGAATCTCCGGTACTTTGTTGAAGTGGATTAGCGACTATCTTGGGGAGAGAACTCAAATAATCAAAGTTAACAACTTCTTCTCACACGAAATTGACATCCCATCGGGCGTTCCACAGGGTTCTCACTTGGGACCTCTGCTGTTCAACGTTTTTATTAACGATATCAAGTCTTGTTTTATTAACAGTGAGTTCCTGTGCTTTGCGGATGATTTAAAGGTGTTCACCCGGGTCTCTTCTATTGAAGACTGTGCCAGACTACAATCTGACCTCGACAGACTCTCTGAGTGGTGCGCTTTGAGCGCCATGGAGCTCAATGCTTCCAAATGCAAAGCCATTGTTTTCTCCAAGGGTCGTAGCCCTCCACAATTCGCGTACCATATAAACAACATTCCGCTTGAAACTGTCTCACAACAACCACAACAACGAGATCTTGGTGTCATTTTTGACAGCAGTCTCAATTTTATCACCCATATTTCAGACATCACAACAAGGTCGTTAAAACTTGTAGGCTTCATTAAGAGGTGTTCGAGAGATTTTACAAGCATAGATTCTATCAGATACCTTTATTGCTCAATGGTGAGGCCCCTGATGGAGTACTGCTCCTCTGTCTGGTCACCAATGTATTCTAATCATATCAGAGCCCTAGAGCTAGTGCAGCGCAAATTCGTACGTTATTTAGCCTTCAAGGCAGGTATTCCTTCGCTTGAGAACTATGTATATGACTATGACGACCTATACAGACGCTTCAATCTACAACCCTTGGCAGCTAGACGCAATCAAAGAGATTTATATACTTTTTACAAGGTACTGAACTCCATTAGTGATTCCGCATACCTACTGTCCAGAATAGGGCTTCACGTCCCAGCAAGGGACACCCGCTCTGCCATAACCTTCTCAGAAAGAAATCACCGTACAAACTATGGTTTCAATACATTCATCTCCAGAACTTCTCGATTATGTAACACCCATGGTAGCCTGGATTTTTTTGGACCCATAAATAGCTTTAAAAGAGAGCTTAACTCTCTAATGTAATTCTCCTCGTTTGTTTGTGATGCCAAGTTCGATAGCTAAGAATTTCTAGTCATCTTGATCAGTCATTATTTATGTTTGTCCTCTATTTTCTTATACCTATAACTGATTTAATGTTTTACTGTTAATAATTTATATGTATTTTTATCCTGTTACTACGCGAAGTATTACTGGCCTATGTTTATTTAGTTGTAAGGTACTTAATGTTTCTTGTTTTTTTTTTCTTTTGAAACTTTTAATGGGTCTTGCCCGTAAATAAATAAATAAATAAACAACTAGGAGAAGTTCGTGTCCTATTGGTATCCAATGAAAGGGGGTGATTCGTCGGTTAAGACAAAAAAATAAAAGGCCTGTTAAGTCTTTGCCAACGTTTCGCTCACTTACAACATCTCCAGTCCCCAGTTTCGTAGCCAAAATTTTGAATTACTTGGTTCCAACGTTTCAATATCTGGTGAATAACTCCTTCAAGTTTGTGAAAAAACTTAGAACTCATACAATTCCACCTGGATACATTCTTGTTTCTCTTGATGTAAGTAAATGAAATTGTTAATTATTATATTTTTCTAGTTTTAATTCAAATAAAAATTTCAAAATTCGAATGATTGTAAATAAAATAGTATACATACCTCAGTGAAAAGTTTCATTACTCACTACGTTCCGTTCGCAAATCTACCGCTTCAGCACAAAAAAATGAAGCTTCTACTCCTAATACAACAATATACTATTGTGTGCTTGAAAAGAACGCCTTAGGTACAATCAATAGGAATTATTGTGAAATGACTTGAAATTGTGATATTTTCCATATTATAAGTTTGCATTGGGGGATGGCAGGAGAGTTAGGGACCACTCCAGCTGCCGGCAAGATGTACTTTCCCATTCTTTAGGATCACAGGAATACGAATTTGAGCATTTTTACCGGTCCTCGCATTTTGCATACTCATATCCGTTTACCACCTGATCTAATAGCGCGATTGGGATTTATCCGATAACATGGTACGAAGATGCAAAGTTTTCACCACATTATCTGAGACACTATGAAAGTAAAAAGAGCCTTGCTAAGCTTTGATGAAACTTGATCGATTTGGACATGCCATGTAAGAGTGGGGTCAATGTATAGTCCAAGAAAACGAACTTTTCTAACTTTTTCATTTACACCCCTGCAGTCTCTGATGGGAAAACCAATGTCTCTGTTTTGTCTTCATTCATGAGGATCCTATTAAAGTTAAACCATTCCTTCATCCTATCATGTATGGCTTCAAGCTGTAGGACCGCCTGATCAACCGATCCCGCCGACATGGAGACTGTGGTGTCATCCACAGAGTCAAATAATATGGCTATTGCCAATTATTAATATAAATTTGCTGGAGAGTTTTAAAATGAAATTGACGACGCACCACATTTAGTCACAATTGGCAACAGTGCAGTCAAACCTTTAACCAGCGGCAACTGGGACAGCTGAGTTCTTTGTCACTGGAGCACTCTTCTTAACCTTTGTCTTCCAGGGTGGGGTACAAATGTACAAAACAATTTTTCTAGCATATTTTCCCAAAAAGTGCATAAATGGGCTCTTTCACTAAAATTTAAATACGTAATTTAAGTATAAAATCCCAAAGGAGGGACTTTTTTAGGCATATATATCAAAAAAAAATTTTCTACAAGGTTAAATAAGTTTTTTATAGGCATTTGAAACTAGCGAAATTCAAAATCATTTAAAACGCGCCGATTCGCTGACGTCACATAAATATTTTCCATTTCGCTCATGTTGCAAGAAGCTGACTGGCTCGGCTGTGTTGCGCTCTGTAAAAACACAGCAAGGTTCGAATGCGCTGTTGTCGGTTGTGACTGAATGTAGTGCAACGTAAAAAAAAATAAATAAAACTAAACATAAAAAATTGTAATAAATTGTGTTTAAGCATAATTTAAAAAAAAAATGTTATAAAATCTTGAATCCATAATTAATTAATTGAACTACTTTTTATGATATTTATCCAACATTTCAGAATTTATAAATCTATTACAAATTTTCAATATTGACAATTAGTGGCAACACGGTCAAATTGCGAGCTGCGACGTCATAGAAATAAATTCTGGGTTTTTATTTGGAGGTATTTCTTATTTTTCTGTTTTCTCAAGAAGGACTATGAATTTTTCAAAAGTAAAAATACAGAAAATTCTGTTTTTAGTTGCTTTATTCAAATAATGTCAATTTCAAAAATTAGTGAAAAAGCGCATTATGTCCTTTCAATAGAATAAACGTTTTTTGTAATACTGTAATGTTATCTTAACATAACATGAGCGAAATTGAAATCGAAAAGGTATATTTGACGAGCCGGCTGGTTAAATAAAAAATAACAGGTCGCTGGCCAGGAGAGTATTTTTTTGGCATATTAAAAGAAATCTTCAGCCCAACGAAAAATCTAAAACAAAACACGGAGGAAACACAGCTGCTTTGGCTGATTATGATCCTCGGCTATCGCCTCAGATCAAAAATTTCAGCCCGGCCGTTATTTGCTACTTATCGGCCTTATAACGTTAATAACTATTCCAGTTATTAAACGTGAATCATTATGAAGTCTGGATACATAACACCCTTCAATTCCAAACTCAAACACTCACCTTGTCTTTCTTAGACTTGGGCTTGTCCTGGGCCAGCTGTTTCATTGGCAACGGTTCCTTGACGGCGCTGGGCGGCTGTTTGCCGCCCCCGAACGACGGCACTTCGACTTGCGCGGGCCGCTGCGGCTGCGCGTTGGCAGCGTTGTGATTGCGCACCGACGCCTTGTGGAACAGCATCGAGTTGGGACGCAGCTCGACTTCTTGCAGCTCCTCTTTCGCCACGATGAGATTGTTGCGTTTGAAACGTGGCGGTAGATCTTTGCCTGATTCTGAAATTGTTTTTATATAGGATGAAAATGTTATAGTTATTTGTAGAACGCACTTCTGCAGAATGCAGATAGTCTATAAAATATAATGCTGACAGTGACAGTTAGGTTTGTACGCTAAAAATCCTTCAAGAAAGAGAAGCATAGAAGAGTTGTTTGAAATAAAGTATAGGATGTTTGAAATAAAATAGAGGATATTTAAAAAAGTTAAGCGGAGGATATTTTAAAAAATCTTCTAAATAATATAACTTACGATTATTGAAATTGGACCCTGAATTGTTCTGGTTGTGTTTGTAATGTCCACGCCTGCTGCCCTCATAATTGCCATTGTTGAAGCCCTGATTAGTTCTTCTGTCGTTTCTAAAGGGGGCGTCTCTGCCATCACGTCCTCCAAAACCGTTAGGTCCACCAAAAGGAGGTCCTACCGGTATAAGCGGCGCCGGCGATGTCAAATTCAATCCCGAAAGCATATCATCAAAACCGCCTCTGGTTCTCATCGGGTGCCTAAACAACATATCGGTATGGTTGCGGTCAGAGTCTCTGTCGCCGTGCTGATGGTTCCTGTCTCTCCTGAACCCGGACCTGTCGTTTTCGGCCGGTCTTATCTGGGCCATCGGAACCGGCCCCTCGACCACAGTGGCCTTTCTCGGCATCCATTTGTCGTTTCTCAAATCGATTATGTCTTTCAGCATGAACCTTATCCGGGGCTGCAGATCCATATTTTCTGCCAGCGTGCGCATCCGATTGAAGTACTGGTCCATGAGGTTGTTTCCTTTTTCCGTATCGAGGATGCGACCGCACGTGCGCATGATTTGGCAGAGGCACTCCAGGTCTTCGGAGGGGTCGTCGCCGCGTCGCACCAACAATTCTTTGATGCACCTTGATTACAATCAAACAATTATTTATTATATTTCTCTCTTAAATAGTTTTTGGCTAACTTACCTATGCAATATGCTCTCGGATAGTATCTCCAATTTGCCGAGCTCTCCGATGAACTTAATGTTGCCCAGCATCTTGCGTTTGGCCGTTTGACGCCGCTCCTCCAGCTCTTCTCTGTCGAGATAAGAGCCGCCCTCGGCGATGCCATTGCTGTTGCGCGCTACGGCGGCCGCCCGATTCTCGAACTCGACTTTGCACTTGTTCAGCAGGAGGATGCGGAAGGTGTTGATGCTACCGTCGCCTTGTTCAAAATTTGGCGCTTCTTCGCTCAGTCTTTTGCAAAGCTGAGCGTACATCGACGAGTATTTCGGCTCATCTAGCGCCTTATCGAAGATAAGGATGATCACTCCTTTTAAGATGACGGGTGACTGCAGCTCGACGCGCAGCAAGTCATCGCTCAACTTTTGGAATTTCTCTGGAGTGAGCTTGTTGAGAATACCCCGGACCTAAACCAAAAAAAAAAACATACCCATTGAAAAATTGTAAATCTCCTTGCTTAAAAATTAAAATAAGTACACGATAGTTACCTTGCGGAATACCTGGTCATTACGAGACTCAGGCGTGGCAGCCGCATCGCGGAGCCGGAGCGTCGATGGTGGGACCCAGCGTCGTTTATTGGCGGAAGGGGCGGCGTAGCCGTCCTAAAATTACATGGAAAAGTGAATATTTTCATTTAAATCTTATTTGAAATAAATAAATAGAAAAACTAAGAAAATATTGTTACCTTCCCCGATGCACGAGCTGCTTGTGGCCCCGGTTGCCTGGGGCTCTCCGTGGTGAGGGTGGGGTCCTGCGGGCAACCAATTGCGTGTGCTTTACTTTGCTGTGGGGTCGAAACAAAAATTTTACTTCCTTGTAAAGTGGCCCACTAACCTGGAATAAAAATGTTTTCTATATAAATAATAATTAGAAAAAAAACAAAGAATAAAATAATTTGATTTAAACTAAAAAATATACATGAAAACCTGGAAATTTCGATAAAAAGACATTCTTTTGATCAAGGAATGTTACCTATAAAACTATGTACAAAGAAAAATTACAAATATTAGAATTAGTATTGACTGTTGTCCTTTGACTGACCTACACTTTTTCTGAAATTTTTGTAGAAAAATAAGTTTGTTTGATACTTATCTCTCATAAAAACAGTCATTTTGGGAAACCAAAACCAAACAAAAAGTGTACTTTTATTGCATAATAATTGTTTTATTATTTGATTTTTATAGTCTACCCACGACCTGATTTGTTGAGGAATTTTTTCAATAATAATTACTTTTTTCATATCAATTTTGGTTTTTCCAAGCTCTTGAAAAGTCATTTTAGAAAGCACCAAATTTCAAAAGAAACATTTCAAAACTTTTTTTTTGTTTAAGGAAAATGTTGGAAGCATTGGAACGAAATTTTGCAAGTGGATTGAGATTGAGAAGATTGAAATTTAGGAGAAGAAATAAAAATTTCCTTTTACTCGCTTCATCTTCATGAAATTAAAGTCGATTAAGAAGTTCGAAATTTTAGTCAATGAGAACTTTATGTACTTTGGACAATAAAGCTTTTTTGAATTTGAATTTGTTGAACACCACAAGCCCAATCTCGTCAGTACTTAGCCGAAGGCCATTTTCACTGCACCAGATAGCCATCTGACCCACTGTACTTCAACAACCTACAGACAAACTAGAGAGATTAACAGCTTTTCATGTCGTCCTCAAATCTCTTTTTGCTTGGTGAAATTTTGAATCTAGTTAAGTATTTATGTTTTAATTTGTTTCTCATTGAATCAGAGCGGTTTTTCAACTTTTTAAACTCATCAATAATATGTTAATTTTGAGGATTATTTTTGTATCTTACATATACTTTGTCTCTTTGTTTAATAAGATTCAAGAATTTATTGTTTATCCAATGTTTGTTTCTATCTTTTATGATTACATCTCTCGTTGCTTTCTTTTTCGTATGTGTCTTTTACTATTCTAGTGAGACTCAAAATCTCTAATGGTATTTTTTTCTATTTCTTCCTCTACCCTTTCACAAAATTTTTGTTCATTGATATACTCGAGGATATACTTCATTACTCTTCTCTGTATTGGATTTTCCCGAACATTGTGTTTATTTACAGTTAATAATTGAATCTTATGGTCTGTCAGTGATCAAAAAATTGAAATTTAATATTGTCACAAGTGCCCGCTTTACGGGAGTGACATGGGAGGGGGGGGGGGGGGGTTTGTAGCTTTGGGGGTTGATGGAGAGAAACTCGCTCAAGTTATATAAAAGTGTAGATATATATTTTCCCAAATATCCCTTACATGTACGCTAGTCCTATAAGATGCATGACCCTCCAAACACTGGGCCCCTTATAGGGAGCCACACGTCAACGCTGCTTGGGAGACTGTCGATTAGTTATCATCACCCTTATGCCTTGTCCAGGGGGGCTTTCCCAACGAGAGATAATTGCACTGGACAACGATAAGGCTGAAGATACCCAGAGAGGCTTTCCCAACGAGAGGTAGTTGCACTGGTTTAAGTCTGCCTGTTGCTTAGCTTGGCCAACTATTTATATCAATTTATTGATGAATTGCATAAACATCCCATCGAATCGGCAATTCAATTATTAAGGTTGAATACCGGGTCCTTCTTTCCAGCTAGTTAACAATATACATAAAGTATGTTTTTTTTTAAAGATAAAAGTCAAAATGACATTATGTTGGCAATACATTGTAAAATTGTCAATGCTTTCAAATTTTTTATGTAGAGAAGGCTTGTGTTGCCAACATAGTTACTAAATTTTTGACTTGGAGAATTAATTATCTTTTAAAAAAAACAGACTTTATGTTTATGTATTTTTTATTGAACATTTAATTTAAAAAAAAAAAACATAAAGAAAATTCAAGAGCCAAAAATAAACAAAAAATAAAAGAATGGAAAAAATGAAATCTAAAAAAAGAGGTGGAAAATTAAAAACAAAAAAAGATATAAACACTTTTCTATGGATTAAAATGGGAGTAAAATTATTAACAGTTAAGATGCAGGTGCAGGTGACGGTTCGGCATGTTGCGAAATTTTCCAAGAATCCAAAATCATCAGCATTCAATGTAAATAAACACACAGCGAGGATACGAAATTTGTGTGTGAGATCGTGCACTGATGTTGGTAAGTTTTATGGATAAATGCTTGGCTTTGAGTTTGCATCAAAGATATGGAATGTTTTTCAGGCCAGAGGAAAGTTATAAAAAGCCTGAAAATCCTGAAGTGGAAGAGGCGTTGTACAGTTGCTTTCTTCAACAATGTAAAAATCACGTTCCTGTCTCTAGTGAAACCTTACGCACAAAAGCCCAATATTTCTATGAGTGAATCATCACCGAAAAGACTGACTTTCAAGTTTCAAGTCAGTTCCGGATGGCTTGACAAATTTGAGGCAAGACGCGACATTCGTTTATAAAAGTGTGTGGGTTGAATAGGTAGCTGGTCGCGTTCGCCAGCACTCAACATGTTGAGTGATTATTTGGCGGCTTTGTTGAAAACAGATGAAAATAGCCCTAGGTCAATCAAAACTGTTCTACCTTGTGTATTCCACTTGATTGATGACGATTTTCGGCACTTATTTTCCCAGTCAGACAACATGGATAGGGTTAGTAATTCTAAGCAAAATTCATATATTTTTAGGAGGGGTTTTCCGATGAATTGAGGCGCAAAATACATTAAAGTTTAAGAATGCACGGCCCTTTTTTTTCCAGTGATAAAAATAGGTCTAACTAATGAGAAGTATACTGAAGTTACGTAAAAATATAGTCTGGCTATATACTTTGGGTTCTATTGCAGTGAATGTGAACTTGTATTTTTCATTGATCTTGTGAACCCATCCAAAAATTTTTGCGAAACTCAAATATATTTGTTTTGTATCACCAAGAGAACAAACTATTTAATATACACTAACTGGGAAAATAAGTGCTCAAAAATTTCACTGCCTCCTGGTGAAATTTGCGAAATTAGATTTTACTGGTGTGAATTTAGTTTTCATGAATTTGAAATCAAATTTCACTAGTGTGAAATAATGCTGGAAATGGTATAGAATAAACATACTGTATAAAGTTAAAAGGACCCCGCACACCTCTTATGGGTTTTTAGATTTCTGCCAAACTTAATGGAATGACATTTTGATATTTCGGTGGTATATCTTGACTTTCTGATAAAAAGTTCTCATAAGCCCAACCCGATACTATAAATAGTGTTCGAGATACAGGTAATTTGATGTCTAATGGCCGTTTGCACCGAACATTTTAAGGAAGCCTTAACGATAAGTATCCCTTAAAATGACATTTTTAATTGGAGAAATGGTTAAAGTTACGAGGGCGTTTAATTTAGAACAAAGTTGCCATTTTTGATTGAAGAACATATTCAAATTCAAATAAGTTAGCTGTATTGTCCAAAGTACATCATAATTGACAAAGTATCAAAAATAATCTTGAAAATAAAGTCATAATAAATTTATATCCTAAAATGCTATCAAAAAATTGTAAGTAAAAAATCTGACAACAAAAAATGAAAAACAACAACAAAATCCTGAACTAAAAACTATCACAGTAAAATTCGTTCAAACTATAATAAGCCGCACCAACCAGCAATATCTCAATTTCCCTCCTAAAATGTCTCAGGGAGGGGATGGATGTTAAAGGGGGTGTGCGCCAAAAATTAAAGTTTTAGTGTAAAAAAATCTAAGAATAACTGTTCAAACCTCGTTATTCTACGACAAACCATCGCTGAGATATACCGCTTTAAAGTGTGGACGACGCTCTCGTGACGTCACGAAAACTTCTTCCAGCCGCGCTCCACATTGTTAATTTGATTGTTCCCGGCACGCCCGAGTGGTTTTTGTTTAGATTATTGCAGGTAACACAGGAAAAACGTCGGGAAAAACATATGTAAATTTAATAAACTCCACTTTCTCGTGCGTCACTTGAGCTTTCGTGACGTTATAGGGTGAGATGCCGTACCTTCATAGAGCCGTATCTGCGGTATTATTTTTGTCATAGAGGGGTGCGGATTTCAATGTTATTCTTAGATTTTTTTTCTCTTTCTTTTGAGATGAAGTTGTTTTTTTGGCGCACACCCCCTTTAAATTCCTTGGCAAATGGTTGTAAATTTTAATGCTTTCATATACAACAGATTTTTTCACCAGTGTGGAGTGGGGTATGGGAAACATTAAGTTGGACATTGTTTCGGGTCAAATAGATATATGGGATATAAATCTGTGCCGATTTTTGTAGACAAGTGTGACTGTTACTAGAATAAACAGACTGTATAAAGTTTA